TGCAACTGCAGCTGGGTAGCAATCCGGACACTGCAACTGCAGCTGGGTAGCAATCCGGACACTGCAACTGCAGCTGGGTAGCAATCCGGACACTGCAACTGCAGCTGGGTAGTTACCATACACATACTGTGATGTATAAATACTTTGTTTTGTTTGGCTTCAGTTCTTCAGTTGCTCTGTAAATCTGAGGTTTTAAAATAAGTTTTGCAGGGTATCAGAACTGTGCTCCACAGAATACATGAGAAAGCGTGTCATGCAGCCCGGCAGAAAAACACCCACGTTATATGTCACATCAAAGATTACAGTCACATAAATATATTTATTTATAAATATATTTATTTTTCATTAATATAGACTGCAGTCCGCCAACACAAAAACCACTGTGCTGACAGGCTTTTCACATCAATAGACATCAGGCAGTCAACTACCGTGACTTGTGATGTAAAAACAGCAGCCTGCCATTGACCGTGAAGATACAACAATGTTAGAACCAACAATCAGCCATCAGCTGCGATGCACTATGGCTGACAGAAAAGAGCTGGTTATGACAGTAAAAGGAGAGGATAGCTATCTTACCCAGAAGCCATCATTACCATCAGACCACATCGGAAATGTAATCAGAAGCTCCCACAAAATCGAAAAAATTATTCAGGTATTGGAACCTTTTGTTGCTGCAAGCTTTTGACACAAAAAAAAAAATCACACTGAAATATTCAATGAGGTCCATCCACCTCAAAATGTACGATTAATAATTTACAATATATGATTAAGTATCTATGTCCATTGCTGCAGTTACATTTCCTGTATGTGTAGGTGTGTGTTCCTAGTAACAGATACAACTATGAATAAACTATGACCATGACACAGTGGAAGAAAATATATGAAAATTAAATTGTACCTGCTATTCATAATACACTGACTGAACATTGTAAGATCTATCTGTCAAACTCAATCAACAAAGTGAGAGAAACTGGATATCCTTGTCATAGTGGAGTCTATACTCTACTCTTCTATTGAGTCTTACAGTTCACCACTGGCCACCTGGTTCATGAATGCCTCAACAGAGGTCTGCGCTTGTCTAATGGAGAGTCAGTGCAGGGGTACAGGTAAGGAGACCACTGGCATGTCTCTAAAAAGGTGGACACCTGACTAAGGTTCAAAGTGGAGGACACCCATGAAAAGCTGTTGAGTTGGGGGGGAGGGGGGGTTATATTATACAAATACTACGGAAGCAGAGAATGGTATATCTCTTGAGAAAATTATATGATTATTGTGAGATATTGACATTAAAAAGACTAATTGCAAGCACGCTTCCATAGAATATGTGTGCAGCTGTTTCACGTTTCTTGAGCGACTGGGGGTGGGAGAGAGTGTTGATAGGCAGGCGGGTAGAGGGGGGGGGGAAAGGAGATCAAGGGGGCCGAAAGAAGGAGACTCAACAGCAGTATGGATAGAGGGCTGGAAAACCAGATGAGTGGACACTGTATGGACAAGGGATGGCGGTGCAGATCCCACCTGATGTTCCCATGACGACCCCACATGACGTTCCCACATGACGTTCCCACCTGACCCCACCTGATGTTCCCATGACGGCCCTACCTGACGTTCCCACCTGACCTCACCTGACGTTTTCGTGCCGCTTGACGTAGAGGCTGTGGAAATTGTTGTCGCGAACCAGGCGCTGCTGTTCCTGCTTGTCCTTGCAGTCCTGTAGCCTCTCCATGATGGCCAGCTTCATCTTCATGGAGATGTATACAGGCAGGACCGACTGCAGCAGGTTCTCCTGGACACATGGACGCATGAAACCTCCAGGGCCTTAAAATTCAATTCTCACTTCAACTGCGCTAACAAGGCATTAGTACTCAAAGAGAAGAACAAGATTTCCAGAGTATTTTACACTACTTATAACACAGTAACAATAGCGGAAAACTGTGGGCTTATAAATAAAAAGAAAATAGATTTTTATAAATAAAAAGAAAATAGATACTCAAGTAACACTAATAAAAAAAAAAAATCATCATTTCGACAGTTTTGTTTTAATTTTCAATGCCTTAAAGTGGACAAGTGCACTCCATGGATTGTGGTGTCGCTTGTAATGTGCACTATGATGTCTCATGTACACCCAGTACTGAGTAATGCATTTCCTTCCGAATACTTATCTGGGCGTGAGAACACTGGGAACACTGGTACTGTGTGTGGTGAGAGGACAGGCAACTGAGCCTGTCTGGCGCCCACTTCTGTGGAGCTAGAGAGCATGTTAGCATTTAGCTAAGCACAATTTCTGATGTTTTATTATAATTAGCATAGCTCCAGCTAATCCTGTATCACATATTTAGGAAAATGAGTGCTGGTTTCTCAGTGCATTGTGGGAGTTTCTTACCTTGCTTCCTGTGTATCAGTTACGTATTTAAAATCACCTTTAATTATCAGTTGGTTAATAGGTTACACTGTACCCGATTTGCCATTACGTTAGATTATATTCAACTTTGTCATTGCACAAAGTACAAGCATGCAGGTGATGAAATGCAGTTTGGGATCTAATAGGAAATATTGCAAAAGGGCTAATAAAGCTGCACAATACATTTGTGACAAACAGACAGTGAAAGTACATCTACACAGTGGTGGTGTGGTACAAAACAATGCGGATACACGGCATTTATGATTGCAGTGAAAGAACGAACGTTCTGTACAGTGTATATATACAGATAAAGTGGACAAGGAGAATATGCAGTCTATGGTTTATGGGCAGGATTAGGTGAAGATTAGTGGCACAGTCTTGGGAAAATAATTACAATGTGAGACTACTAAGATAGCCTAGTGAATTTTATTTTATAAGTATATACATTATTCATTATTATACATTATAAGTATATACAATTAAAAGCATATCAAGCACACAAGGGCACTCTACATCAGACAATATCTGTTGCTATTTTTGTTTATATGACCCCAGGTCACCATCCCTGAAGTATGCATGAACAGGCCGTAGTGTTTGCCATGTTGTAATGCATAGCAATATCTCCATGGTGCTGAGTGTTAATTGGCAGTGTTCACCACTGGGCAATAGGAGAAGGGTCAGCTGGTCTAGGATTATCACGATGGCAAATCCGATTGGCCCGAACAGCGACCCGCAGGTGGCCAATTGTGAGCTCTGAGAAGTGAAGTCAGACCGGCTGCAAATTACTCAAAGGCACAAAAAGTCTGCCATTAAAACACCCAGGCGGGCAAATGAAGCAGGGCCAGTCTAATTTGCAACTGTAAATGACTCAAGCTGAGCGAAAACCAGCAAAAGAAGCATTTTAACAACCTGTTTTTTTTTTTTGTTTGTTTTGTTTTTGCGAGTGGATGAGCTGAAGTCTACAGACTCATTTAAAACACTGCTGGATGCAATATCAAAACCATTAAGTTATCAGGCTTCTGAACAAGCAGATCGGATGAGTACCAGCCTCATTTTCATAGCTCTCTTACATAAACCCATACAACCAGCCACTCGTATGTCACTTAATTATTCACTTGGCACTTGAATTAACAAATTAACTGTCATAGTTATACGGTTGCCACACATGATCTCCTCATAGTCTAAATGTATAACCTTATTTAAAATAAACAAAACAAAAAAAAACTGCATCAATAAAATGAAAATAACTCAAAAATACAAGCACTCAAACAAAGGAGCAACAACAGAACAGTGTAGTACCATAAGCTGGTATTGTCTGATTAAGCCAGAGCTGTAAGAAAGCCTCATATTAAGTTCAGACCACCACTTTCCACTACATGCGCCATCAAAAACAATTACGTACACAGGTTGCTTGAAAGATGAGTGAATATTGCCGACATTCCTGGAGAAGAATGCTTTCAAAGGGAAGTAAAACGCAGTGCTGAAGTTCCACAATATGACATCTTCAAAACTAGCATTCAACCTTAGCTATGTATGGTGTTGAGCAAACATTCCCAAACCTCCATAGGGTTGACATAGGTAAACTGGGACAATTTTTTAAATTTTATTTCCTCTCCCTTTAAAAATATTATCCTAATTATAAATATTAAAACATAAAAGTATTATTGAAAGCTCAAGAACTGAGCTTAAGGTAATAGAACACAGAGAAGTAAAGATATAGAGCATCGAACATATAAATGTCTCACATAACCTATCCTGACCGTATCAAACAGGAGGCATCCAGTTAACATCCTGCATCTCAGAGATGAAGAATAAAAGATCATGCTTTTGGAACATGCTTTATGAACATGGTGCCCAGTATTACTACACTGTAAAGTATGTAGGTGTATGTCTCTTTGTAGTCATTCTTTAACTTCTGATACTGGTGTCCTTATAGAGACTGAACCATGAGCCCAAATCAAGGTTAAACAGACGTTCCAGCATGACTACAATCCCAAAAATACTTCAAAGTCGACAACAAAACGATCATGCAAACAATCAGTGTTCTTTATAAGCTATTAAAATCGCCAGCCTGTTATCTAATCAAACTATTTTGCTTTAGAGTCAGGACAAAGGTTTACAAAATAATGAAGGAATTTGGTGGAGAAGAAAATTACCATGGAGGACTGTTCAAAGGTTAAAGAAAACATCTACAACCTGAAAATACACTACAGGAACGGCCTTCTAATAGGCAGATCCAAATCTCTGGCAAGAACTTATTGATCGCATGGATGTAAACAATTTTTTCTTAAAAATTGATGGTTCATGTCTTCATTACACTTCTAATAATTCTAACATAAAACTTCAAAATAACCCAATTATTCAATGGGTAATTTGAAATAAATACTTAGTCATATTTCAACACAGGTTAATCATAAACTGTATATTCAGTAGCGAGTTTATTACACACACTTTCTCCTCTAAACAGCAAATTATGTGGCTGCAACCGAATATATACAGCATGCAGACAGTGTCAAGAGATTCAGTTACTGTGCAGCTAAGCATTAAAACGTCCAAGGCATGATTTAAGTGGTTTTAAATATGGTAAAGTCCTGGGACTTTCAAACACTAGTGCCTAGAGTTTACAAAGAATGGTGCAATAAAAGAAAAAAACATTCAGCGGCAGACTGTGGGCGAAAACATCACGTTAATGAGAAAGGTCAGAGGAGAATGGCCAGACTCGTTAAAGCTAACAGGAAGGCCACAAGTGCAAAAAGAACAGCTTCTCTGAACTCATAGCTCAACAGCCTTTAAAGTGGTTCTACATAAAACGGCATCCTTCCTAATACTTCGTAGGCATACCAAATACGGCCAAACCCATATGAACGTTTTGTGTCCAAAACCTGTCTTAAGGAGTTTAAAATTCCAAAAACCAATAATATACTTTGATACAGTAAAAAATTAGACAGACACCAATAGTTTTAGTTAAATGGTGCTTTACTGGCTAATATTACTGTCAAACTCAAAGAAACAGAATCTTAGTCTTAGTATAAATATAGGCGTCACCTTATAACCTTAGGAACTACTCTAAAACGAGTAAATAACAGCAAACACTCAAGGCAGAACAAGTGCACAACAAAGTGTATTTGCCGCTCCAGCACCTTGAAAATGTTCTGTGTTCATGCACAAAAAAAGACTTTGTTCCTAACGTTTTTATGTTATGTAATATAATGCTCCCTTCTCAGCCAATCATTAGGAACTCTTTTATATTACATATGGCATATGATTACGGACACTGACTTCATACGGCCCTTTCAGGATTTAGGTCACTTCAGTCTTGTTCTTTTGGTTTTTGGCGTTTGTTGGTTGTGTAATTCTCCCTCCCTTTTTTGGATGGTAGGCTGTTGTTTTTCACTCCTTTGGTGCCTGTTTTTAGGTTAGTTACACAATAAGAAGTTGCCTTTTTCCCCCTTCGTCTTTGGTTCAGTGTAGGTACAATAAAATCCTGCAAGTAGATGCAGGATTTTATTTGCTATTTAGGAAAAATCCACATGCCCAGTGTCCTCACACAGCACATCTAACCTCTTTAAATAAAACTCACAGCAAAAGGAGTTTCCACTGGTCTTCACCATCTATGACTACACACACATTCAGTCATGCCACAACCCTACACTGAACCGTAACACTCACTAATAATCCCAAGCTAAGAGTGGTGAGTTATAGTGAGTTATAGTGCAGGAAAGAGAGCTTATTACAGAAAAGCTGCACATTTGAGGAAAGCTGGAAGAGTGAGGTGTGGATCCCAGCGAACGCCCAGCAGACTGACCTGCTGCCGCTTCTCAATCTCCAGCTTCATGCGGATGCTCAGGCAGCTCAGGGTGTCCTGGAAGGTCTGCCGGAGGGCCCGCTCCATCAGCACCTTGTGGAAGGCCCCCACCGCACTACCGCACAGGAACACCACTGTGTTGGACAGCAGCTGGGGGGCGGGGGGGTGGGCAGCTGTCGTCAGGGTTACACTCACAGATAGTCACTCGTACCGAAATGTACATCAAGACACGCAGTCATACTCACGCACATGGGCGTCACTAGACCCCCCTAACTAAGGCACGTGCCCCAGTACTGATCTGCTAAGCCCCATTAAAATCTCCCATTTGAGCTTTAACAAGCTCCCATATTTCACAGTGTATTAATTTAGAAGGACGATAATGGGGAAAGATTTTTTTCTAATCTACTATGTCAGAGAAATGCAGTTTAACCCCGAACACAAGCTGAGATGTGCGCCTTGCAGTGCGGGTCCGTACACTGCGGTCCGCACATTACTGTCTATGCACTGCAGTGTGTCCGTAACAGCCAGTGCACGCAGTGCACACGCCACGATCCATGTATCGGCACACAAAACAAGAATCAGGATTGAGGAAAGGTAATACAACGGGACTGGAATAAGGTTTTAAATAATGATCTAATTCTGATTTCAATCTGACTGGAACATTATTGACTTCTGTAGATGGACATCAGCATGGACATCAGAATGGACATCAGCATGGACATCAGCATGGACATCAGCATGGACATCAGAATGGACATCAGAATGGACATCAGCATGGACATCAGCATGGACATCAGCATGGACATCAGAATGGACATCAGTGGCTTAGCTGAGGGAAGCTGAAGCAGCACATTGTGCAGCACATTGTACATGCAGCAGGCATTCAGACAAAAAATGGTGTGATTTGAGTAACGGCAGGGCTGTGCCCCCATAGACCTTTAAGGAGGACATGCAAAAGACTACAGAAGCCCTCACATGAATATATAAGCACCATTTTTACCTGTGAGATCCTTCCCTCATCATACACATACAGCACAAGTGAAGAGCACATTTCCAAAGCTCACTCAGTCTTTCTTAGTCTGTGGACTAATCAAGTTATGGAAATTTAATGAAAGTCCGCCATTGGATTACATGAGGACTGAGTGAGTTTTGGTTCCCAGTACTGTAACATATGATGAGGAAGCCTGACTTTAGCTCACTGGTGGGCTGATCTCAAAAAGAACAAAACATGTCTGAATGAGTTTTGGAAATTTGCCCTTCAATTACACCCTGTAACAGGCTGTGGGACACAGGTGTACAGTACCACACAGGCAAGACGGCAGGCTTTACCGATGATGTCATTAGAAAAAAAAAATCTAAAATAAAAATGTACTAAAAATAGATAATAAAAAAAATAACAATAAAACTAAGATGCAGCATTGCTTCACGCCTCCCAATTCATCTCTGAATCCACCCAAATGACACTAAAACACTGCAGCCATTATCCATCCTGGGCAGACTGGGATTCAAAGACTGGGATACATGCAGACACAGGACTGGGTAAGTATGATCTTTGAATGTTGCCATGACAACTGATCATCCCCCCCCCCTTCCATTTCTATGCTTCACACTGGTTTACTTAAATGTGCAAACTTACCCTCGGAGCCTATCCCATAAAGTACAGCGTGCATCACAGGGTGTACACACACGACCACGCACTATAGGTCAGCGATTCTCAAGCCATGGGTCGCGACCCAGTGTTTTGAAAGGGTCATGAGGCAGAGTTGGAAATGTAAGCATCTTAAAACCAGCAAGCTACGGTCAGATTTCCCCATCCCCGGTCCCCGGAATTAACCTATATAAACGGACCTTGGGTCTACAAATGCTTAGTGCTAAACTAGTGAAAACTTAACCAATCCAAGAAGCAAAACCACAAATGCTTAATTTAAAATTCACTGGCACATCCGATCAGATTTGTGCGATAGACATTGATTGGAATAAATTGCACTGCGCACTTGATCATAGCGCCAATTTAAGCCTATACTTCATATAGGGTCACGACTCAGCAAGCATGGTAAAAATTGGGTCCTGGTGCAGTGTTGAGAACCACTGCTATAGGTCATTTTAGAGATACTTGTTCAACTGTGGATGAAACCCACAGCTCTTGGAGGTGTAAGACCCATTGCTGACCAGTAAGCCACCATACCCATCCATCCATCCATTGTCCAACCCGCTTAATAAATTACGCTTCCCAAACACACACTATCAAAATCTCAGACTTACTATCTGAAATACACAGACATCCTAGGTTATGCATACATCCAACGTCACCCATAGCTCATACATTCACAGGCACCCCAATCACTGACAAAAACACACTTAACACTGTCCAACAGCCCAATCATGACTCTAAACAGAAATATCTCATTTCTATAATATTTATGCTAAGAAACCTGCTATTTACACAATATCTATAAAAATGGCAGTCCCTACCAGTATCACCTGTCAGAAACCAGCAGTCTGGAAGGCTTAAGAAGACCAGTTTATATTCCAGGACCCCCACAAACTCAGATTACCGAAGGTCTGACCGTCAGGGCAACAGTCATAAAAGAGGCTCTATTTTTAATTTCAAACACATGGCTTTTATAGTCACTATGAGGACAGAAAGGTACTTTCTTTCCCCTGTACCGGCCATAAAAGTGCGCCTGACTTTTGGATTTGTGGGATTAAGACGGGTTGGAAAATATTCGTCTGAAAGCCCAGGGTGTAGGTGACGGCTCGGGTGCAGATAAAGAGCAGGGTGGAGGAGAGGGCGGGGGGCAGATAAAGAGCAGGGTGGAGGAGAGGGCGGGGGGCAGATAAAGAGCAGGGTGGAGGAGAGGGCGGGGGGCAGTTGAATGACCCGGCAACCGGCACGCACCTGTTTGGCCAGGATGGGGTGGGAGGTGTGACTGGTGACCGAGAGGTAAATCGCCAAGACGATGATGTGGGACAGAGAGGAGATGATGCTCAGGAGGACTGCGTAACGCATCTGGAAGGGTAGCATGGTGTACACCGTGAAGATGATGAAGAGGAAGAATGGAACCTGAAAGAGGAAGAACCAGAGAAACAGCCGTAAGCAACATGACATTTTTATGAATAAGCAAAAAAAATAAAAAAATGGGTGTAAACATCGGCGGGGGCCGCCTGCATTATAAGATGGACAAAAAGAGACACAAAGCAATACAAGGTTGCAGTACGTGTCGACAACCTAGCAAGCAAAGGCAAAACAGAAATCTTAGAATTAATAACCATTCTTAAAAGTGCCAGAGGAACAGTGAAATGCTGGGCTCTTTGAATTAAAACGTAAGCTTTACTGGCAAGGTCACATGAAAGCAAGGTATCACCATGGCAACACGAGACTACGAGTCTTCAAGTCAAAATGCTAACAAGGTACGCCGGTGTAACCAAGGGCAGAACTTTGGTTTGAGCAGTGGGGAGGGGGGTTGAGGTCTCCACTAATTTATGGGTGTCTAGGGGGTTGTAGTGGCTGGTTTTTATTATTGGGGGGGTTACAGCCCCACCCATTATTTACACCCATGCGTGTAACAGCTATAAAATTAACAGGAAAAAAAACAGGTGATGCAGTATATCAACATTCTTTATGCAGTAATAACTCCTGCTCTGTCTGTACCGATCTGATGAATCTCATTCTGTGGCTACAGTGTTTCTCAGCCCATGTCCATAGTTGAGGAAGGTGCCAAACCTATTGAGCAGAGAACAAACAAAAAAAATCGCCTCTGTTGGGCAGGAGAGGGGAAGGTGAGATGTTCTGTGCTGAGTGAAGGACATGCAGGGGCACCCAAAATGAACCACACATTCGCCTCAGGGGAGAGACCCTGTGGGAAAGAGGATTTCTGTGCCAAGTACAGTTAAGGCTAATGCTCAATTAAACAGACAAATCCCTGGTTTTTATGTTGCATTTGGCACTGTGATGTCTTACAGCACGACCTGAAATAGGTTAGAAAGAAAAATCCCGTGAAGATTATATAGCTCTGGAAAAAATTAAGAGACCTCAGCAAAAACTTTCAGTTTCACTCATTTCTCCATTTCTGGGGGTGCGTCTGTGTAAAACATACTTTTTTTTTTTTTTTTTTTTTTGTAAATTCCAGCTTGGCTGCTTCTCATTAATGAAGGGCTTCTTCCTTGCTTTATGGGTCTTCAGTCCTGCGTCTAGTAGTCTGATATGAACAGTCCACTTCACAGCACTTAATGGTTCCCATTCTTTTTGAAGGCCACTTGAGGTCACCCTCCCATTCATGAGACACCGTCGGACAGTTTAACAGTCATCTCTGGCATTAGAAAGTTGCTTCTGCCCTTTACCTGGCTGGTGTTTGGTCATTGCCAGTGTCTCCTGCGTCACATGGTTCTTGTGAGCCTGGAAGCAGCCTGCAGGGTCTGAAGCCTTCTGCTAACAGACCCAGGATTAAAAAATGCAGATTTTTTAAAAATATTGAGTGGTCTCTTAATTGTTTCCAGAGCTGTAAATCAACACTGGCACTTAAAATCCATTTATTAGACTCTTATGAAATGCTTATGATGCATTCCTCATTTTGTTGTAGCCTTTTACAGGTGGCCTTGTGTGTGTGTGTGTGTGTGTGTGTGTGTGTGTGTGTGTGCACAGGTGCTAGGGCAGGGGGGGGACGAAGGGGACTTTATACCCCCCAATATTTCACTGAGATTCATTCATCCCGCCAATAAAAAAGACCTTTGTATTTAAATGATTAAGTTGTGCCCCCCCCCCATACCAAACTCTCCCCCTCTCCACTGGTGTGAGCGTGGGTGGGGGCGTGTACCTGATCCCAGGCGTGGATGACGTGGCTGCTGAAGATGAAGGTGAAGCTCATGGTGAGCAGGGTGGCCCAAACCACCACTCCCAGTAAGCGTCTCCAGCGCTGGGACAGTGACTCGGTGCAAACCAGCACGAAGACGGCCAGGAAGACACACAGGCCGCAGCTGACGGCGCTGACGAAGGCGCTGTGCTCGCTGGCGTCCTGCGGCGGGGAGGGACCCAGCATCAGTATTGCCCCCCCCCCGCCCCCCCTCCACCATTGTTTTATTTTTTACGGAAGTCGTCTAACCTAAGCAGTAATAATAGCCTGGCCACTCTGTAAATACTGGGTGGGGGGAAGCGGGGGAGAGGGACAGACAGCCATGGCCAATCAGACATCAACCCCCCCCCCTCCCCTGTTTGCTACACATGTGGCCCCATCATGTAACTCGATTATACAGGTCATTTCCTACTCTGGCAGGCCGAGCTTTCAGAATGAAATAGAGCCTAATCGAGTCAAGCTGCTGGTCACTGAGGGATGCTATTCGCGAGCGTCCCGTCGTCTTTGTCAAACAGGCCCCTTTCACCGTGCTTATTGACATAGCTGGCTTGAATTGGGGGGAGGGGGGGGGCTGTGACTGTCTGAGCAAACAGTGGCCTTGTACCAGGCCAATGCATTGTAGCAGCAGGTGTTCATTAACGGCAGAGTCCCACCAGAGCTCGCGTCTGGCCGCTGTCCTAAGCTCTCTTTCATCTCCTCCTTAGGACAAGCAAGTGTGACCAAAAAAACCCAAAAAACACCATAAACAGTGGTCATTCATCGAGGCGGCTGAAGAAGGGGATTTATCGCGGCCTGCTCCTTCCAGACACACGAGTGAGTCTGTTAACACCTGCCTCCTCAGCTGCACTAATATCCCCCAAATCGTCTCCCCAGTGTCTATTCATTCTCAGACGCACATGTGAGTATCCCCATAGTGGACCTTTCCATCTCATGCGCTAATCTGTCGGGTCGATCTCCGTCTAGATACCGCAGCTCTGAAATTTGCAGAATCACCTTGAAAGAAAATTAATCAAGTCCAAGTAAGGAGACCTCGTAAGAGGATGAAGCAGACTAGATACAGAGAACTTACTGAAGCTGTCTTAAACAAAATCTTTGCACAATCACAGTCGAAATAATCAAAAAGTCTTTGTTAGACAAAAGTCAAAATAGATTATTTTAAAACAACATTTTCCATCTGGTTGACACATTGCATTCCATGGATGCATCTCCATACACTTGTCAACATGTTTCCATGACAAGGAGTCTGCCTCTGACATGCCACCTGTCTCACTCATACCTTGCAAGTTGATTGGTTGGAAGAACTGAGCTCTGATGTCATCCCGGCCTTTGTTAACTCCCCTTTAACCCCGAATAGACCCCAGTGATCCATACTAAATAGAAATGAATCGCTGTATCTCCCTGACCCAAAAACAAACAACAAATATGTTTTGGCTACTGCAGATCGCCCTTGACCTCATCTTGAAACTGAAGAAGACCAATCCAGCGTTTCTAAATGTGAGGGAGGTTTATTCACCAACCACGTGTAGAAGATGTGCAGGTATAAAAGCAAGGAAGAGAATTACAGAACCAGGCTCCAAGATAGTAACTATATCTGACATGGTATTGATTTTCAATAAAAGGGTCTTTGCTGGCTTATTTCCTGACATGGAAATTTAGCTAGGTTTATTTTATTGATCTTATTTCCAAACATAGTTGCTCTTCCACAACCAGTACAGATCCCTCTGACTTACAGTACAAAGCCTGATATTAATGCTGTTACGGATACTCCTTGCTTACTGCAGGTCTCATAGACCAACTGGACAGCGCCCTATTCTTCTGTAGAACTCCTTGACCTCTTCCAGATACTCTTGACATACGTTTGGACCTTGATAATACCTGCTCCCTAGCTTGGTGCTGGCTGCTAGGCTCAGGGATGAGGAGGTGTACTCACCAGTCTCAGTGAGAAGAAGAGTATAATGAGGATGGCACAGGACAGCATGGTAAGGCCCAGTAGTAGGACCAGGAGCTGGTACTGGCTGATGCAGGAGAACTTCCGATACAGGGCCTCCTGTTTCAGCTCCTGGTTGTTCAGCAGGTACTTGCCCTTGGTGGGCATGGTGCAGCCCTGCTCACGCTGGCGTAGCACACAGCCAAAAAAGAACGCTGAAGGCCTCTCCGCATTCACCTCTCCGCTGGTGATGTCAGGCTGTCAGTCCTTTTTCTTCTTCCAAGACATCTTGAGTGCTTCTCTTCTTCTCTTTTTTCTTTCCAACTCGGTGAAAGCACTTCTCAAACTTGGGGCTACAAAACAATGGCCTGCAGGGCTCCACGGGGTGATGATGCTATAATGGAGAGGAAGGAAAGGGAAAGGAAAGAGAGAGGGGAGGAAGCGCCTCACGTTTTCTCTCACTCCCTCTCCCGCTGTCCCATAATGTTCCACGGCGGCTTCCTTCTCACAGTACAGGCTTTGTCTCAGACTGGTGCCTGCGGAGAGGACGGACAGCATTCTGAGCGAGGCATGAAGACCTTCAAGGCAGCACAGGATACGCACAGCACGATCACAGCCATCTGGGGAGCCCGAAACCTGGACGGGCGCGAGGGCCGCTTGGCACACACAAAGACGAATCCCAACGGGCAAGGTGGGGGGGAGCCATGAAATTGTTGGGAGCAATTGTAGGAATTTTCTTTATGTGGCTCTGCCTCAGAGCTGCCCATAAGGGGAGAGAAAGGGGAGGACTTTCAGGGGTCCGGACACTAGGGGGTGCCCATGAGCACGTGAGCATGGATAATGCTACTTTGGTCTCAAGAGGTGGGGCATTCAGTAGAATTTTTCAGAAGCTCAGTCATGTGATTGCGCCAAGATTTATTCCGTCTACGCTGTGGATAGTGACCATTCACGAATCTAGACCGTGGTCTACTGGACCCGTGGTCCAGTCCTGATGTGTGACCGCTTGTTGACCGCTCAGTTGCCCCTGTGCTGTCCAGGGCCACTCCAGCCACATTCCTCACACAGGGGGGGTATATTTAGCTCCCAGTTCTGTTTGTCTGAGGCCGCTTTGCACTGCGGTGACCCACCGGAGCAGGCCAAGTTCCCACATAAATTTAAATATACTTACAGAATTACTTAACATGATGTCCTAAGTGTTAATGTGAGGAGTTTGACTTAAAAATGAGATCTGCTGCCTTAAAATGCATTAGACGTGAATTATACAAAAATATGGTACAATCATTTGTATATTTTAACATCTGGAAAGATGATGAATGCCATGATTTATAAGAATTTGGGTCTTCTCTCCAGCATTCCTGTTTTCACAAAATGCCCTTCCCTGTCGTGTTTGTTAACATGAAAACATTTCCAAAGTAAGAACAAAGGGGAGACATTGAGTTGGGTGCCGTTTGGTGATCTAAGATGAGGTTAAGATATGCAAGTGGGTCTCAGTCAAACCAGCAGCCAGATCTGTTTTTTCATCCGCAGGACGATCTGGTCATTTATAGAAGCAAATTATACGCACACACACACACACACACACACACTTTGCTCAAGGGCCCACAGAGGTAACAATTCTGACGAGGCTGGACTCGAACCAGCAGCCTTCCAATCAGACACAGAGGCTTAGCCCCGAAGAGGTAAAACATGACATTTTAAAAAATGTTAATTCATGAATATATTAATTGAGATAATGCTGTACCCATAAGATCTTCAAGTGTCTCCATGAATTTCAAGAAATTCAAGAGTAAATCTCTTGTTTTTACCCACGTTCCCTCATCAAGTGCAGAACCAGATGCGACTGTACTTTTCAGATTCAGATTGCTTTATTTATCCCTAGGGAAAATTTTTGCGTTGCAGTAGCCAGTAACATAAAAGATAGGAACACACAGACACGAGGTAGAAATACCGGTAGACATAACACCACTGCAAATTACAAAAATGACAAAAACATATGTACAAAAAAAAAAAAAGACTTTGCTGAGATATATCTTTAGTGTGCAAAATAAATGTAAATGTGCATTGTGAGATACTACTGTACCACTGCCCTGGGCAGGAATGACCTCCTGTAATGAACTTTATTGCTGAGAAGCTGAAGGAGACTCCCTGTCGTAAAAGATCCACTGCACTGCAAAAGGGCTTCTGTTCTGCAGCTTTAAGTATTAACATATATCAGAGAGGGAAAGATTTTCAAGCAACAGAAGGAAAGTGACACGAACATGACAAGACTAATGAATGCACCAGCCCATGCCGAGGACACTGAAGTCACATGACATGTGAATTTCATGTTGACTTGCGAGTGGCCATTGTGTTTGGTAGTGCTGTAGTTCTCGAGACTGGTCTTGGTCTCGACCAGTCTTGGTCTTGGTACCCTCAAGTCTCGGCAGTGTCTTGGTCTTGATACCCACCGGTCTCGGCAATGTCTTGGTCTCGGTTTAGGCGGTCTTGACTACAACACTAGTGTTTGGAGACTGGTGGGTTCAAACATTCCTCACTGGAAAAAAGCGTGGTAAGAGACACTGTCTGCTGAAATTATCTTTTTTTTTTTCGCTATACAAGCACCAGTCCATTAAAGCTTTATAACAGCGTGTATGAGCCGTCAGCTGGAGCAGCTCACTGCAGGGGCGCAGGGGAAGTTTGCCTAGCGAATCAGGGGCAACGCTGTGTTTACAGATAGCTGGACAAGCTGAGAGAGATTCAGGAGTCTCCACACCATGGTCAGTCCTTCTCTGATAATTAGAGCAGGCCAGCCTTATCTCCTCATCATCATTAGTGGACAATGTAATCCTGCTGACGTACAAGATCCAGGCCAGCTTTGTCATTTATGAGAAGCGTGGAAAAGGTTCCGTTTCTGAGACCGGACCAGTCGTTTTTGCAAGGCCAGTTTGAAATGACCTGATCCATGAACTGGGCAAACAGCTCCCTGTTTGTATTACAGCTGTTGGCAGTCACAGGCACTGCAGATCCAGTGAAAAAACACTGAAGGCCGGGTCAGCACCTGGGGGGGGTCTCCTTACGAGGAAGCAGCCAGGCAAGTCACATCCCATGCGGGACACTCAGAGGTCAAGGGACCACAGCAGGGTTCACAGATTTATAACCCCCACATGCCTCTGGCAAACTCCAATGGACACTCCTATTATGCTTCAAATAGAAATTTCATATCGTTTCAGGTAGATCGGGTTTCATATGTGGTTCATATCAGTTACAAATAGTAGCTGTACCAGAGGATGTGCTGCTGATCTTCAGGACATAAGTTCTTAACATTTAAGCCGCCTACGAGTTCTGCCTGAAATTACCAGCAGGATGCGCCGTGCACGCGCAACGTGGCCACCTTCTAGAAGAGTCTTTTTAACATCCTTTCAGAACAGAACTGCGTCATTGGAGTCATTCAGAGGCAGAGAAGGCAGCCACTTGCGGTTCTAGGCTGTTTCGTATCAAAGACGATGCATGCGTGGGGATCACATTAAAGAATATTAATAAGAGGCTGGTACAATAGTGAGTGCTCCAAACACGGAGGAGAAACAGCCCAGTCGCCGGGGTGAGGCGTGTTCCAAAGGTTCCGTTATTTTAAGTATTTAACTCTGTGATGTCACTCTGGCCTACAGAATACAACACACAGCTCTTAAAGAGAATGAGCCGAGGCTAAAGTGACTCTCTGGGTAGCAATACTACCGTGCACCTGCAGCACTGGAGGGTTCCAGTGCGCCGCTATGCGTGTAGGCAGCTTGCATGTTCTCCTCCCACAGTGCAAAGAAATGCAGTGACGATAACTCTAACATTCTCACAGCCTACGTTACCAGTCAAAAGTTTTCGCACATACTTAGATTTTCTACATTAGCATGTCACTCACTCAACATTTGCTAAAAATACAATCAATATTCTTTGCTAACAAATAATTTACCTTATGTTCACTATCTGAGTACCTTAGCAAGAAAATGTCATATCTTTGGTTCAACAAAGTAACCTCCAATAGCAGTTATATCAGCAGAGAAAATTCGAGGCATTCTTTCTACAAGGGGCATTAAATACTGCTCTGTTTTATGGGATGAAACGGTGAACTAGTACATTTAAAGTTAAAGGACAGCCTACAATTTGACTGCCATCACCACACAACCAGGTAACAGGATGTCAGACATTAACTGTTACACACTCTTTCCATGTTATAAAGCAAATTTGTTTCATTTGATATATTTTCATTTATTGTTGTTCACCTAACTTTCCAATGCTTAACAAGTATAAAAAATCTGCAGTTTATGGAATAAATGGAAAAGTGGAAAAAACCTGAGGTGTGTAAAAACTTTTGACTGGTCGTGTATAATTCTGCATGTGTGTGTGATGGACTCCCCACCCCCACTCAGCCCCCTCCCTAACCCTAAGATAAGCAGCTGAAGAATGGGCAGATGTAACATGCTTCCTAATGTCTACAATGTTACGGTACCACGCTGAATAGTAAGGAATTTCTGATATTAAGCGATAAAACACCAGGCTTCTCTTTCCAGACACAAGCATCAGGGTTCAGTATTGAATTCCCAGTAATTATTTTACCATTATTTACACTGGTCTTTGCACAGCACCAAAGATTTACGGCAGAAAAGGACTAAAAACAGGAAAAGGTAACGGGAATCTTTCCCATATATAATCACAATACCGAATATACCTGCTGCTAATGTTTGTTTAAAGCGGGTATAATAATCTCCTTTGGACAGATGGCCTGAGAATATAAAGGACAAACTCTACGGCATTTCTGTGTGCCGCTCCCTTTATCTCTCCCCAATTACTTTTATTTTACAAACAGTGTTTTTTAAGTTTACAAGTGGTATTCCCCATTGCTGCTGTAACTCGGATTGTTTTGGAAACCGACGCAGCACTAAGCATATGAACCTGTCCCTGTTCGCTGCAATCCCCTTTCATCTGCGCTCTCTCCAAACAGCAGTAAAACGTCACCATCTATATAAAAAAAAAAAAAGGTTCTTGGCTCACATGACATTAAAGATACACGTGGAAAACAGTCCACTGTTCGCAGCTCTAACAGAGGAGACCAAAGACCAAACAGAGAATGAGACAAAGCCACGACTGGCTGACAGGCAGCCCAGAGCCACGCAGGACAGGTGTATGAAAGCTCTGCGAGCCGTTTTAGCTAAACGTTCTGCGACATCCTGAACGCCTTTAATGAAAAGCTGCAGCCATGTGACGCAGGACCTCCGCTTATCTGTCACAGATCCGCTCGATACGGCCTGTCCTGAACCCTGGCGCTCCTTTATAGCGCAGTTCTAAAGTTGCCATGGCGAGGGACGAGGCCAGCGAATCTGGGCTCCCGGCGCCGGCCCCGCGCTGAATAGGCTGGAATCTCAGCGGCGTGATGAATAGCAGCTGGGCAAGGCCTTGATGGGACTTCAATGCTACCATTGAGGCATGGTAAGAAGGGATGGAGAGTCTCACGTACCACGAATACACCGCACAAGAATACACGTAACAGCAAACCACCCATGTAACATTCAAATTCATTTAACATTTGACATTTTCATCCAAAATAACATACAATTGCGAAAACAGGGACACCAGTCCTTGGAGGAACTGAAGAGGAAACTTCCAAAACTTGCTCCATTTTGAGATGAGACAACTAATGACCTAAAGTCAGGCTTCCTCATCAAATGTTACAGTACTGCGAACCAACATATACAACTTACAATACAATACACATAACAATACAGCTTACTCAGTCCACAGAAATATTCTGAAAAACATATCACATGGACTGACTGAGATTTGGAAATTTCCTTTTCAATTGGGGTTAGAGGCCTTGCTCAAGGGCCCAGCGGCGAAATCATTCCACTGACTGCAGGGTTTGACCCAGCAACCTTCCGACCAGAGTCCTACAGCCCCAGACACTGTACACCCAACCTGCCCTTTCTTGACTTTGTGTAAAAAGTTGCTTGTTGCCATTCTACAGAAATGCATGATGCATCACAGGGAGTGAAATTATGCAGAGAGAAAAAAAAAAAGACAGACAGAGACAGCAAAGACATTACTGGGCCACAAACGAGCAGGAAGGAGACGCAGAACCTGCATGACAGAGGACTGGCGTCATCCCCAGGTTATTCAGCAGCCACCTCAGGGCCTGATGGGACCTCAGAAATATTCCAGAGTATTCCGTTCTAAGACATCATGAGTCACTGGATTCACAAAATTTCCAGCATGTTCCAGTTAGTCACATATTTCTTTTTTTCCCCAATATTACTCATCTTGGTCTATCATACAAATTGTTATGCTTTAAAAGTGTTAACGCATCCATTTTGCGTTTTGGTCGAAATTCACACGCCAGTCTTTTAAAGTAGTTTTTTTCAGGGATTTAGTACCATTAATGAGAACCAATGGAAGACCATGTGCATCAGGCAGAGCCCAAAGCCCAACCCGGCACGGCGCCGGTAGATGATTGGTCGAGAAGGATTCCATCTCCAGCAGGCACCCTTGAGTCAGAAAGACCATTTTCACAGGAGCGCCGACAGCTCACAGTAGGACGGGACGTGTTGACTGCTGAGTGAAAGTGTTTTCTGGACTCACCAGTGACTAACAAAACACGCACAAGCGGCGGCCGCTGACATCACTTCCTGTGAGTGCTCATGCAGGTAGCTCTCCGTGCTCCGTAGCGATCTGTGAGGTCACGCTTTCACTACGCCAGCCCTGCCCCCTCCTCACCCAGGTGGCAGCTAAAGACTGCCAGGTCACGCCTGCGTCCGGGACAATAACGACTTTCCCTTACAGTACAGCCCAGGATGTCGACGCCTACGAGCCAATCTGGCCATATGGTGAGCGTGCTCAAAACCAGCCCCAGCCAACCGGGGTTAATCCACAATGACTCATGTTCCTCAGCTGCTGAATCAATCACAACTTAACACAAAGGCTGTTCCAGACCTTCAGCCCAAACTTCACAAAGGCATATTTCACAAAAACCAATATCTAGTTACATTAACATAAGTAATCTGTAACACCAAATTATGTATAATTGGTTTTCCTCTGTGGATTATTAAAGTCAGTAAATAAGCATGTATCCATGTACTGTATACTGTATATTATGGGTGTGACGGTACAGTTTTCCCACGGTTCGGTATGTATCACCCAAGAAAGCGCAGAATGTTTCTGATGTTGTAGCCCCACATAAAGGGAGCAAAAAACAAAAAAGTAGGGCTGTCAAAATTAACGGGTAATCCATTATCATGATTAATCTGATTAAAAATTTTAATCGTTTGACAGCACTACAAAAAAAGTATTGTGGTGAGAGGTGAAATCAGAAGATGACAACAGTGGCCCAGACAATGAAACCCAGTTTACATGATACGCAATGAAACGCATGCATTCCACGGCAAACATTCCAGTTACGACATTTACAATTAGCATAAATACACAAATACACATATTAATTTGCATCAGTTACAGACAAGCACGATATGCTTCTAAGTGCGACATAAAGCATGCGGGCAGCTGACCAGCCCCACGGCCTCACGGTATGTCAACTAATTGTCGACAGTGGGCGGGATCAGCATCGCGTCGCCGAAACAACGTCGATTATGTTGCAAGTGCGTGAATACCTTTGGCCAGGGGGCAGATCATTTATAGCATCTGCTCTTGTATAATGGCGTTTAAATTCTAGCCCTCGAGAAATAGACGACCCAAGTTTTTTAGATGCATTATTCACGCCAATAGAAAACTAGCAGACATGTCATAACGCCACGGTTCATGTGAGTATCAAACTGAACAGTCCGATAATATACCGTGTACTGTTACACCCTTAGTATTGATGTATGCATGTATGAATCAATCAATCAATCTATCAATCTACCAACCTATCATTGAGGCTAGTTCATCTATGCACCTATGTTGCAGGAGTCCCCCACTTACAACCATCCCTCCGCCCAGATCATGGCAGACTCCGAACAGACAGTATTTTTACAGGCCACCCACATAAACCTCTTGCACCTTTATCTTCAGGAAGCCGGACAATGGGATGTGGCGACCGCTCGATGGCAGGGACCCGGATGCTACAAGGTGTGTCCCCAGTTGTCCCTCCCTTTCCTCCCCACAGATTTGGCTGCTGCTCCCCTCCTCTCACCCTGCCCCTCGGCCGCCGTCCCAGGCCAAAGGTCAGCTCTGCGGGGCCTCACCCTGCAACACTGGATGACTTTGCACAAGAACAGCCATCTCCAATCAAGGATGAGGCGACACCATGGTGAAAAAAACCACACGTGGGTTCTCACAAGAGCTTTGAGAGCTTTCGTTAGCCTGCTCTGATCTGGCTCTCATCGTCAAAATCATTAGCAGCATTAATCGCTTCCAGTATCCGCAGCAGCTGCTGGAGAGGACAATTACTCTCCTTTAAGGAGTGCTTGTAACACTCGCTAATGACACAAAACACAAGCACTGCCAGTCACCCACAGATGGGGCCTCAACACATTAGCGTGAAATTAGCATAAAGTTGGCCACAGACAGCTACCTGGTATAAGAGCGGGAAGCAGAAATGCTAATAATTAGCTTAGCTTGCCCTCAGGTAGTATCCGAAAAACAAGCCTCTTTTCCACTGACGCGATGCTGGTGTCGGTGCCGGACTTCTTCCCAATCCGGAACTTGTTCTGCGCATTTACACTGCAAAAAACTGGCCCTGGGCAAGAAAAGAAAAAAAAAACATCTCTGGCATGGCACGACAGAAAAGCTGGTCTCAGAATTTTGCGCTGTGCCGTCAGCGAAAATGGGACAGGCTATCGCGACCAAACCTTCCGCATACCTGGAAAATTCAGTCCATAACCGATATAGTTTAGTCTAATATCGCTGGAGAAGGAGGTGAAACAAAATGAAGTGAAAACCTCAGCTGCAAGGTGATGCCGTTCCTGGTTGGTTTCGTCCACCCATCCCGATGACAAAGTACCAGTCACAGAGAAAAGCACAGAGTTACTCCCTGTTTGCCAAGCAGAGGTTAGGAACATCTTCAAGGTCGAGCAGGAGCGGAATATTGACTGTAATGTGGTAAAGAAAATGAATGAAAAATGCTGTGATGTATTATAGCTTTCAGCCACACACATAAGCCTATATGGATAAAGATATTAGAAATATACAATGTTCCTGGTCAAAAGTAAGGCGTGTGTGTGTCAACTGAAGATGATGTTACACTCATCCCTTCTTGGGCTTATCTCCAGATAAAAAACAGAAACCCAGTGTCAGCCCATCTATCTGCAGACTCCACACATGACTAACTGCCCAATGGAAGGAGCTGTCAGGAATCCGTCTCCCGGCGAGCTGCTCAGGACCGAAGATAAAGAAGGCCTGTGCGTGGGACACCGCGCCGGTGTGAGGACGCAGGACACGCGGTCACGGGTGACCACCGTGGGGTATGCCTCGCCGAATGGGCTGCCACGTAGCTGAGAATGAGGAGTAGGGGAGGGGGGGGGGTTTGCAGGGTTCACTGAATCCTGCTGGATAATGTCACCAGTCTCGAGGAGCCGGTGAACACCGGAAGGCTACTCTGACACATCCATGTGTCACCAAGATCCAGGGCCTCCAGCGAGCTTTACATACTCAGGGAACTGCAGGGCTGAACATGTCCAGCACAGACACCATAATCCACAGAGCAAACGAAGCCCTTCTCTTTGGACAGCAGAGACGTGCTGGTGGGGGAATCCAGACCTGCACTTCTCAGCTGCTCCTGTCCTTGTACAGTTTTAGGCACTCAGCCCACTTCAGGTCAAATATGGGGAGTGCTACAGTAAGTGTGTTCCAAGGTACAATGGTGGAAGAGCCAGATTCTGTACTGTGGTTCCAGGGGTGTCAGAGGGAAAAAAATGATAGTCCTGTAACTCTTTATTTACAGTGTTTTTATTAAAGGTGGCAGTTTCTGATAAAGATGGCATGTGTTCTGGTGCTACTAACAGTTGAGTAGTAATACCAAAAAAGGTTCAGTGCTTTGGTTAGATGATACCAATGGCGGGCATTAAATCTCTCAGTCTACCCTAGTTAAAAAAAGAGGTCAGCTGGACTGAAAACAGGATGAGTCACAAGGAACAGGATTAAGAAACATAACCCAGACACGTCTCCCCAGACGCCTCCTGAGGACTCCACAAAACAGCCAAAATTCCCACTGTCTCTAGCCAAGGCAGGTAGAAACCCAGAAACTGAAGCGATTCCCCAGAACACTGAATACTGTCATACTGAAGGAAAGCCTGTGGAAGTCAAAATGACAGAAAGTGCAGCCTGAAACATCCCACTGAAGCGAGTCTCTCCACGTTCTGCTTAGGGAGCCACAGGTCACCTTGGGCTGAGGCTCAGTCTGTGTACCCCCCCCCCCCATACTGTGGTAACGTTACCCAAGCATAAAAACAAGAGCTAGTTATAGGCATGGACCAAATCCACTGCTGTAACATAGAGGCCTTATTATACCGGGACATAAAGACTTCACTGCACAGTTTAACAGACCACACAGTGCTGCTGTCACGTTACTGTAACGTAAGAATGCCCTTTAACAGACCACACAGCCATACAGTAGCATTACAGTAAAGACTAAGCTTTTACAGACTGCACAATGCTGATCTCACAATATCTAGAACGTAATGTTATCTTTGCCATTCCTCTTCACTTCCTACCATTATCTGCATTAAATTAAGCATAATAATTGAAATTCTGATTAAAAATTCATATGAGCTTAGAATTATATTTCCAGCTTAATGCAGAGACTTCCTCCTTCTGCTCTGTGGGGCACCACTAAGAGCTCTGAAGCCCTAAAATCGGTCAACAGCGGAGAAGCTGCAAGCGAGTTCCACAAGTCGTCAGCGCCAAACTCGAAAACCTTGCTTACATTGTACAACAGCACTGATTACGCAGTAGTAATGCAAACCCCTCTGCAAAGCAACCCAGATCTCCGATACAAAAAAGACCTCTCAGTCCTTCTTAGTAAAGCATTACCTCACTACCCTCTGTAGAACACTCTCAAGACCCTCACCCACCGTTGTCAAGCGGCCATTCTGGAACACCATCACGCGGGACGTTTAGGTTTTTTGCACAGGAGTCGTACTGCGGCCAGTGGGACCAAGAGACAAGTTTTTCACAAACCAGAGGTCCTGTCAGTAGACATGAGGTCCTGGAGGCCAGTTTCAACTGGGAAATAATACTAATCTGACGAATCGTCCTACGGTACCCTCAGTGTTGAGGAACCATAATGCTTAATCATTAATCTGAAATTATTAATACATAATACTAAAGGAGACAGAAAAGTATTTCTTGTCAGAAGGACAGATTTTATGCCAAGACAAGGGGCCACATTTTCCAAGATGCCCACATCCCAGCCATTTAAGCAGAATGTTTGTAATTATAAGGCAAGTTAGCAGAGTTATCTGTAATGTCTTAATCCTGTCACATGAGCAAACCTACCCAGGTATTGGAATAAAAGCCCATTGCATGTTTAAATTGTGACATATAGTAAAATGCTTAAGTGCACTTGATATGCGTAGGATTCAAAAAGCTCATTAAATGATAAAGGAGGATGATCAGAAATAAAATCAGAAATGACCAAGTGTTTCCCCCCCAAAAGAGTATATGTTCTGTACATACCACAGGAAAACAGAGCAGAACAACAGACAGTGAGCGGTTTGATAATAAGGACTGACGTTTCCCATTTCGGATATCAAGGTAAGCAGGCGTAACCCTGAGCTTAAATCATGAAATTGGCGTTCCCAATTTCCTGGCACTGTCACAAAACACGCACTCTCCACGTTACCTAGCAACCCACACACTACCTTGGTTAATTAAAAAAAAAAAAAACACACACACACACACACACACGCACACACACTTGTTACCTAGAAACAACATACTGCCACAATCAACTAAAAAAACAGTCACATTGCCTTTGCCTCTGTTATCTAGCAGCAAACAAACTAATTCCAAACACTCTGCTTTGACTCAGAAATAATGGATCAGAGACACTGACTCAAAAACAATTACAGGGTGTTTCTATATCCTCAGTTACATAACAAACACATTGTCCCGATTCCCTAGAAACATTCCACTTTCTTGTCACTTGTCTCTAAACACTTGTACATCTCGTTAGTTCCCTAGCAACCATCACACTGCCTGTGATCTAACAATTAGCATATTGTCTCTTCACCACAGACAAAAAAACATTTTCTTTGTTACTGAACAGTTAACATATTGCCTTAGTCTCTGAGCAAGCAACACATTTCCTTTGTCACGCAACAATCAACATACTGCCGTAATTTCATAGCAACCAGCAGACTCCTTTAACCATTTATCAATGCAAAAATTACCGCAATTCCCTAGCAACAAAACACTGCCTCAGTTCCCTTGAAGACCATACTCTGCCTCAATTCCCTAGCAACAAACACACTGCACAGCAACAGCAATAGTATTAACAACGCAGTTTATTTTACTTTCCAGTGCATTTATACTATTTTTTTTTTTACCAAGGGTCTCTTCCCTTGTGGAGGATGGTGCAACCAAATCTCACCTGACAACTCTGTCCTGGGTACAGGAAGGCGTGTACTGTACAGACTAGCTCTTTTTTGCTTTTTGCCATGCACCTGGCGACAATGGGAACAAAACTAAATAAGAGTTCATAACCAGGCCAGCTTGTGCAAACAAGCGCACAATAAAGTGGGAATCCAAATAAGGCAGAAGGATAGCTGTTGTTTCAATTACTCAGGCTGACAATCTTGTCTTGGTATGAAAGAGCAGCAGAGAAAAATTATTCACATGGTGTTGCCCCCACTTTTTAGGCAATGCAGACAGATTCCAGTCTGGTCCCATGACTGAAACATTCATAGAGTCCTTGGACCAGGCCAAACACAACAGACCATCCATTTGAAGCCCTCTCTATTGTCATTCACCGCTTAAGAGATTCTTTGGCCAAAGCACATAAAAAATACATCCCAAGCTGTTCCTTTTATCCACCCACTCACGGTACACTAGCAGATTTTAAAGGAAAGGCGTACATCCACCGACATCATTAATGTGGCTGGATGTTGCAGAGTAGTGTTACTTAGTAGAGCTTCCAGGTGTAGCAGCAGGGTGACTGGGTGTAGCAGTGTAACTGGGTGTAGCAGCAGGTTGACTGGGTGTAGCAGTGTAACTGGGTGTAGCAGCAGGTTGACTGGGTGTAGCAGTGTAACTGGGTGTAGCAGCAGGTTGA